AAAAACCTGTCCACATAGGCTGGCGAGGAACGTGCTGTGAAAGACCCTCCTAGCTCATGGACCAGCAGCAGGAGATACTGGCCAGCCTGTCGAAGGTTACGGCGGTAATCAGAAGACAGAGCCGCCTGGCTCAGTCGATGAGGCCCTCCCTTCCCGCGCGGCATGGGACGCCACCAGCTGACGACAGAACTCTACCGGGTAGGGCCGGGATCTGATATGCTGACCGGGTCGCGTAGGAGCGTGCGTGTGATCCCTGGGGCATTGTTTCACAGCAGAGCCAAGCCACGGGGCGTTCGACAACAACAGGTTTGAATACTGAGGACCTCCAGCACTGACATGGGCACGAGGTGCATCAGAGACATAGGCACAGGCATCCCACCGGTAACGTTTTACCCCCTCGTTGCGCAAGAATAACTCTGTGCTCCGCAGCCGCCAGGCCTTGCTACACCGAGGGTGCTGGATCACGAAGTGGCCTCCACAGTGGATCAGCTTCTCAGCAAGACCCAAGGTTCGCGCCCAACACGCGTAGTGGTACTCGATCTTAGGGTCCGGCCTGAGGTGATCATGATCTCCCCCGGTACCGCACCTGCCAACAAACGCTGCTTCAGGAGGACTAAACCAAACCCAGTCGACGGCACCCTCAGCGATCATCCGGTCCACCTCGGGATCGAAAACGCCGAGTTGCGACGCACCCTCGGCTGGGGTCAACATCTCCCAGCCCTGCTGGAGATAGGCATTGGTAACGCCCGTCTGCTCAACAAAGATCTCCCAGCCTATTGGTGTTCGGCCCGGGCCGAGCCCAAACCTTTGCATCCATGGGGCAGGAGAGCTCGGGGGGGGCAAAGGCCTGAACCGTGAAGGCCAATCGGCTAAATTGGCCGACGTCTCAATCCATAGAAGCCCTAGGTGGAGTCGTGCGAAGGCCAGAAAAGGTAGTTGTGATCTGAGGATCCCGTTCAATCGAAACGAACTTGACCTCCCCTTGCACATAGCCCCTACCACTACCATTGAGTCGTTCAGGGCCACCTGAATGATGTCCATGTTCTCTGGGTTCCCGGCAAGGCGCACCACCTCGCGCTTCAGCGCGCGGGCTTCCTGTAGGTTAATGTGGTGGGTTTTTCGAAAAGTATAAGAACCCACCACCTGCCACCGAAGACAAGGAGCCACGCTGGCCGCAAACTTTGAAGCCTCGAGAGGCGGGGCCTTAAGTAGATGATCACTCTCCGGATCCAGTCTCACAGCAGCCCCTCTAATTTCGGATCGCCTCCACAGCTCTGAGCACAAAGCCGGGCTCGCGAAGGCCCGAACAGCACCGCCTGATGTAGGGGTAGCGTCAGTAGCTAAGAGCGATGGTGAAATGCGGGATCTCATGCACCATGTGGCCAATGGTAGGTGCAGGGCCACAGACCGAAGCTCATCAGCAATGTGCCCTGGTAGTCGCACAGTCCTCTGAGGCTCTAGTTTGGAGACGAAGACATAGAAGTGGTGCAATAGACAGAAGAACTCCCGCCTGAACTGAAAGACGAAGGCGATGAAGCCCCCGAGCTTCTCCAAGGCTTCTTTGGAAGCTCGACCTGAAGCAACGAGTTGCGCAATCAACCACCAGAGCTGCCGCCTAACGTCCAGTGGGGCCCCCACAGTGCCCTTGATGCCGTCAATCGCAGCACCCCAAGCTTTGAAGTTCACCTGGGCCCGGAAGGACTTCTGCAGCGCTCTCGGCAACTTTGCTCTCACATAGGCAGCCTCGGCAGCCATAGCATGCCGCATGTCCGGATCCTGGTCCTGCGGCGGCGGGGGCTCGAAGCTACCATCCAAAGGGATTTCCGA